TTTGAGAACATGACTTTAAATAGAACCATGTTCTGCTAAAGTGCTGAAATTCCCACAGAAGAACATTGTTTCTTAACATTCTTTTTCATATTTGAGAACATTCCCTATGTCAAACCAGTTGGAGAACGTTCCTAGAACATTACCAAAATTGAAATGAAACCATGTTTATACTTTTAGGAAACATTCTATTAATGTAATGAAATACCAAGAAAATAAAGTTTTTGTTAAGTTCCTCAAATGTGCTGAGAATGTTCCAAAGCCATGCAACTATCCTGCACTATTCCCATAACATTGTGGGAATGTTGTATGTGTCACGTTCGTTGTGTAAAGGATCGGACCAAGGTGCAGCGTGGTATGCATACATAGTCGTTTATTTTAATAAACACCGACAAAATCCAACAGAACGTGAAGTTCAAGAGGCTAAATATCAAACAAGCCAAACAGAAACAAGATCCCACAACTAAGGTAGGCAACATGGCTGCCTAAGTATGATCCCCAATCAGAGACAACGACCGACAGCTGCCTCTGATTGGTAACCACACCCGGCCAACATAGAAATATATAAACTAGATTTCACACCCTGACCAACTCAACTAGAGTGCTCAATGTCAGGGCGTGACAGTACCCCCCCCCCCCCCCCCAAAGGTGCGGACTCCGGCCGCAAAAACCTGACTCATTAGGGGAGGGTCCGGGTGGGCATCTAGGCTCGGTGGCGGCTCCGGCTTCGGACGTGACGTAGGCAGTAAACTCTTCTCCCATCCTGCCTCCCCTTTGCATGGCCGGTCCGGTCTGGACCCCGGCGCGATGCTCCCCCTCTCAGTCCTCCCACAATGCACCAAGCCCTGTCTGGACCCTGGTGTGGGAGACCCCAACCCTGAAGAGGGGCCGACGTCTGGTTCCGGCTCGGCAGTCCTACCGTGATGCACCAAGTCCTGTCTGTACCCTGGTGTGGGAGACCCCGACCCTGGAGAGGGGTTGACGTCTGGCTCCGGCTCGTACCCCGGTGGAGCGGATGGCTCCGGCCCTGGAGTGAAGCAGCTGACCGGAGCTGGACTAGGCACCGGTGGAGCGGACTACTCTAGCACTGGAGTGGAGCAGCTGACCGGAGCTGGACTAGGCACCGGTGGAGCAGACTGCTCTGGCACTGGACTGGAGCAGCTGACCGGATCTGGACTGGGCTCCGGTGGAGCGGACCGCTCTGGCTCCGGACTGGAGCAGCTGACCCTCGCTGGAGGTCAGGTGCGTGGTGCTGGAACGGGCCGTACCGGCCTGGGGACACGCACCGCTGGTTTGGTGCGAGGAGCAGGCACGGGCCGTACCGGGCTGGAGACACGCACCACTGGTTTGGTGCGAGGAGCAGGAACGGGCCGTACCGGACTGGATACACACACCACTGGTTTGGTACGAGGAGCAGGTAGGGCGCACCGGGCTGGAGACACGCACCACTGGTTTGATGCGAGGAGCAGGCACGGGCCGTACCAGGCTGGGGACACGCACCACTGGTTTGGTGCGAGGAGCAGGCACGGGCCGTACCGGTCTGTGAAGGCGCACTGGCGGCACAGTGCGTAAAGCCGGCGCATAGCCTGGTGCCTGCATGGTCACACGCTCCTCAAACCGAGTGCGGGGAGTTGGCTCTGCTAAACCTGGCTCCGCCAGCCTCTGCTCTAAGGACCGAGCTCTCTGCTGCTGGAGGGTTAACTCCTCTCTCAGCTCCTCCTGTTGCCTGGCCAGCTCCTCTCTCCGTGCATCCACTAACTCCTTCTCCCTGTGGGCCTCCTGCAGCGCCTCCTTCTGAAGGAAGAGCTCCTGCTCCCTCTTAACTAACAGCTCCCGTAAGGCGGTGGTCTCCTCTCTCAGAGTACTGAGCTGCAGGTCTTGGAGGGCATCTATCATAGCGGCTTCCTCTATCGCTATCTCCCTCTCCACAATCAGCCCTTCCAGGGCCTCCTGCTGCTCCGCCAACCACCCCGTGTGCCCCCCACAATTTTTTTTCTTGGGGCTGCCTCTCGGGCTTCCTTCGTGATCGGGACCTTTTGAGTCGCCGTTTTTTCTCTCCTGCTGGGGTCCCTTACCGGCCAATATCTCCTCCCATGTCCAAAATGTTTTCCCCACTTGTTCACGCTGCTTGGTCCGTTGGTGGTTGGGATCTTCTGTCACGTTCGTTGTGTAAAGAATCGGACCAAGGTGCAGCGTGGTATGCATACATAGTCGTTTATTTTAATAAACACCGACAAAATAACAAAATCCAACAGACCGTGAAGTTCAAGAGGCTAAACATCAACCAAGCCAAACAGAAACAAGATCCCACAACTAAGGTAGGCAACACGGCTGCCTAAGTATGATCCCCAATCAGAGACAACGACCGACAGCTGCCTCTGATTGAGAACCACACCCGGCCAACATAGAAATATATAAACTAGATTTCACACCCTGACCAACTCAACTAGAGATCTCAATGTCAGGGCGTGACAGTATGCAAAATAACCATAGGACAACCATGCTCTCACCAAACTCTAATTAAGCAATAAGGCCAGAGGAGGTGTGGTATATGGCCAATATACCACGGCTAAGTGCTGTTCTTAAGCACGACGCAATGCGGAGTGCCTGGACACAGTGGTGGTCTAATGACTGGTGCAGAAGGTAAACTCTGTCCCTGATTCTTCTGTGTGGTCTTGGACTGAGCCTTGGTTGTTTCTCAGTCTGCCCCTCATCCTCACTTTCCCTGGATATCCACCTATTAGTGCCTCTAATGTTGAAGTGCATTAGTGGTTATTACACTCATAAGAAATGTTATTGTAGTCAGGAAGTTGGCAAACATGTCTAGCAACTAATACACTATGCGAGTTAACTTAACACTTTCATTTCATTTTCAGTTTATTAACCCATATTATAAAGTTTTGTTTTCAAGAAACAGATTTAACCAAATGCAGGACTTGAATAGTATATACACTAGTATATCCACTGAAGCAGAATCTCCATTGTTAATGCATTTTGCCACATGAGAATGTCTTCTTACCTTTAGTGTAACTGATTTTAATATCAGATAAACCCCAGGTTACATCAGGCACCTCCTCTCTCATCAGTGCCTTACAGATCTGTATCTGGAATCATAGGGGGCCTGTAACACATGCCATCCTCAACCCATGATGATTAATTCTACTATGTGAAACATTCTGTGTGTAAAATGAGAAAAAATAACTTTTTTTTTATTTGATTATCAGAGTTAATTTAAAGGTCCAGTGCAGCTGGTAAAAAAAAATCTCAATATCAAATCATTTCTGGGTAACAATGATGTACCTTACTGTGATTGTTTTCAATTAAAATTGTTAAAAAAAAGAAACCAAAATAGATTCTTAGCAAAGAGCAATTTCTCAAGCAAGAATTTTGCCACGACTGCCTGGGAGTGGTCTGAATGGGGAGGGTAAAACTGAAAACTAGCTGTTATTGGCAGAGAGGTTTGGAACTCTCTTTCTTATTGATCTCTTAACTAATTTACCACCTGGTGATGTCACCAGGTAGGCCAAAACTCCATCCCACCAAAACAGGCTGAAATTTCAGCTCTTACACTAAAAGGGCATTATCATAATTTTCACAGTATTATTCCAACCTCATAGTGTGGAAATATACACTGAGTTTACAAAACATTAGGCACACCTGCTCTTTCCATGACATAGACTGACCAGGTGAATCCATGTGAAAGCTATGATCCCTTAATGATGTCACTTGTTAAATCCACTTCAATCAGTGTAGATGAAGGGGAGGAGACAGGTTAAAGAAGGATTTTTAAGCATTGAGACAATTACGACATGGATTGTGTATGTGTGCCATTCAGAGGGTGAACAGGCAAGACAGAATACTTAAGTGCGGGGTATGGTAGTAGGTGCCAGGCGCACCGGTTTGTGTCAAGAGCTGCAACGCTGCTGGGTTTTTCACACTCAACAGTTTCCCATGTATATCAAGAAAGGTCCACCACCCAAAGGACATCCACCCAAGTTGACAACGGTGGGAAGCATTGGAGTCAACATGGGCCAGCATCCCTGTGGAACGTTTTCGACACCTTGTAGAGTCCATTCGCCCACAAATTGAGGCTGCTCTGAGGGCAAAAAGGGGTGCAATTCAATATTTGGAAGGTGTTCCTAATGTTTTGTACACTCAGTGTAAAGTATATAATACACAGGAAACTCGAGAAGGGTGCAATTGCGGCCCGCAATTCGGGGCGTTCCTGCATGTAGACATTCCTACATCTGCAGGAACCCCTCTTTATAATTCTATTGGTCCATTTTTAAGCTAGGTACACTGGCGGGAGGTGCTCCAGTACAGTAGGTTGCGGTAATGCACCATAACACTGGAAGAAGAGGCGTGGGTGACAACCGTAGCATAGATAGAACAAGGAGCAGTTAGGGTTATTTATAAATATATTTGACAGTAGCTAGCTAGCTAGGACACTGGTAGACAGTGTCCTTCGCCCCCCGCCACCGCTTTCCAGCATTTCTGTTAATGACTGTGAGGGCAGGAGTTCGGCAGGCGTTAGTGAAGGACACTGTGTGCTAGCTAACTAGGAGGACTGCGGTACACAGCAGGCGGGAGGCGGGTGTCCTGCAGATGCAGGAATGGCCACATGCATGAATGCCCGAATGGCTGGCCGCAATCACACACTATTGGGGAAATCACGTTTTTAACTGCACTGACAAAACGGCTGCATTGGACCTTTAAGTAATTTACCATGACGTCACCAGGGCCGCATTCAGTCGTTTTTAAGTTCTGGAACATTCAATTAAATGGAAACGGTGTTGTACTGAACGACCAGTTGAAAAACTGGGAGTGGTTGTGTTGGGGAATGATGTCAGCATGGCCACTTCTCTTTAAATACGTCAGTCATTGCTTCAAACCACACCTCAAAGTCTGTTCAAGAACGTTTTGGGGAAACGTGTCGTTCAGAACCAATCGTTCCGCAACGTAGCAAACATTCAAGCGAACTGAACCCACCTCTAGATATATAACAGGAATAAGAACAACAAATTAACGTTTCGTATTTTTCAGGTGAGTAGTATATTTATCCTGCGATCTACCTGTGTTTGGTTGCGCTAAAGCATTGCGGTTACATGACGATTACGGGATAGGCATGGTGTGAATCACTGAGGTGAGTCAATTGTAGGCTTTATCCCGTTGAAGCAATTTCTTGAATATTGGGTAAACATCTCTAAAGACAAGAAACTCATTTTCAAACACCGCCCTCCTGCCGCAAGGTAATATTCACTTACTATTTTACAAGTTTGAACAAGAAGATCGAACATGTTTCATATTGTCTGTCGACTGATTTTGAAAGCAGCACGGTATTACCCGTTTCATTGCAAGACAACCTGTCTGAGATCGGTACTGACTCTTCTTCTCCGCCCCCGAAGCAACTCAACAAAGATAGAAGCACCAGAGCAGCGATTTAACAGAAGCATACGTAGACCAGAGTGAGAGGAAGAAGACACGATGGCAGAGAACAAGATGGGGCCAAACATTGGGGCTGGTGCTGGAGTTTTTGCCAAACTGGTCCAAAAGTCATTGAATCGAGCTCAGGAGAAGGTAAGCAACTAGTGAACCGTGGCATCTCTGTTACCATGAAATCAAGATTGCCACAATTCTTTAGGCTATTCTACAATACTTTCCTTATTATTTGGGCTACTTGAACTGGTGATGCTCATAAAAGTTATTGGCCTGTTTATGCATATTGATATTAAAATATTATGGTGACAGTAGGCCTACGTTGTCCGTTACAGTAATACCATTTCTTCAGACAGTCTCTCTCTCGACGCTGACTGTTGGCGTGTTATTTACCATCGACACGGACAGAGCCAAGCAATTGATGACTTGTGTAAGGGCTTTAGACAAGTTTGAGTGTTTAATCTTTTTGAACAATCATCATGCTGAATGTAGGCCTTGATGTTGAAATCTCAATTACCCAGCTTAATTCCTCAAGAGACAAAAATAAACCCAGTTCAAACAATATTCAATTGACCTTTTTTTTTTTAGCTAGCCTATATCAAGTTAGTTGTCTATTCCAATAGAAATCAGCCAAATTAACTCTGTATCCTTTATGGAAGAATGTCCATGGGCTTTGTCTGTATTAGTCTGTTCATGACTTTTTGTTGATGTTTGTGAAAATGCCACTTCCTGCCTCTGCTGTACACTTCCTTTCCCTCACTGCTCTTACTCTGTGGCTTTTTTTGTTCACTGCTTGGCCTGGGTGCTGCTCTGCTGCTTCACTATGTGTCTGTGTCAGATATTGGAGTGTATGTAAAATGAAATCGGTTCAGTTGTGCCCAAGTTCCATCCTATCATTTGGGGTCAATCACAGAGGTCATTTTTGGGAAAGGGGAATGCTAGAAATTATGTTGGCCTCTGTATGGGAAATAGTTTGGCCCTTATCCTATTACAGTTCGTTTTTAACTAGTTGATTAGAATTGTTATGGAATACAACGTAGGGCCTAGTATAATGTAAGTGTGATTGTCAGTACCTCACACAGGTCAACCTCAACAACAGTACCTATTATAGAGACTCAAGTCCTTTTTAATGTTGTCTGAAACCTGTGGAGAGGTCACCAGCTATATTTCTTTTCGTCTTGTCATAGGTCATGCAGAAACTGGGTAAGAACATGGAGACAAAAGATGAACAGTTTGAACAGTACTCCCAGAACCTTCTCAAACAACAGGTACCAATGAATAAAAGCCCTACTACAATGTAATGCTGTTTCTGTCTCCCATGGTGACCTGCAACACTGAGTACGGTTACATGCACACAATAATACGGTTATTGTGGATAGTCCGATTTAATAGAATAGTTTGTTTAAAACGTTTACATTCTTTGCAATAAGAACGCTTTCCCTAATAATCTTGATTACATGGACACATCTAAAATCAGGCTACCTGATGGGACTTAAATAAATGCAGAAAATCGGCAATCAAAATAAACGTTCTACCATGTTATTTTTGCAAAGCCTATTTGATTCTGAGTTCAGACATTGTTTGTATGTGAAAACTAATTCTAAGGTGCATACTTTTAGTTTTTCTGAACTTGCACATAAGAGGGAGGCTTGTGTTACTGGTGCTGGCAGATCTAATACCCAGCTGGAACGCCGATTTAAGCTGTTTACATTTCTTAATAATTTGAAAGATTGCTCAGAAAACCAGGTGTTTTAATCGGTGTATGCTGACTTCGATTTTGATCTTACGCCGATTTGAGATAATTAGAGCAACGTTTTTACATGGCTATTGCCATACTCGTCCTACTGCAATAATCAGGTGTAATGTCGAATTATTAGTTTGCATGTAAACATACTGACTGATGCATGCCGTTTTGTATGGATAAGCCCACTATGCAACATATATAGTCGGTCATGAGTCGTACTGATTGTTGCTAACTGTTGGTTGCTCAAGTCTCTTCATCCACTAAGGCACATAAGGACCATATTCACGCGACTGAAACCTTTTTGCATTGCTAACTTGAAGGATCTAAACTCCAGGCATTTGAAATGGTGGTCTTTCTTGCACTTTGTTTACATTCTTAGTTTTTCCATATAATTTGACTGGCTGATATGCTGTCAAATGGCCAACTGACTAGCTACTGGTCAGTCACTCGTTTGAAAAAGCACTTTAAAAAAAAAGCACTGTTTTGTCTGCTTATTGACTGTTTTGGTTTTACCGTGCTTGTGTTGAGGTCAACCATACAAATGTTCTCAGATTCAGTTTATATCTTTCGAGGGAGCTATCTCTGATGTTAGGTTAACCGTTTAACTGCCCTCAGAGCTGTGTGCCATCTTAAATCTCTGTATTGTGGTGCATTTCACCAAATCAACATGTATAATTTGAGAAAGTCATTAGTCTGAAAATTTTATCTGAAATAATTTGAATAAATTCCATGACGACCTGTCCATTAACCTCAGACTTTTCTCAACTCTGACCAATTTTGTGCATGCCGATAACATGAACATGCATTACATGTCACAGGAAGGAGCTCCACCCTTACAGGCAGTTTTCACTCTATCACACTCGTATTACGAAACCGAGTAGGACGTACCCGTGATATTTTCACCAGACTGTCTTGTGTAAAACAATATCCTCCTTATACTGAAATGTTTTTAGTCATTGGTTTCTCTTGCTCCTTGAAGAACAACAATAGAACCATTTGACTTGTGAGAAAAGGTCATCCTTGTTTGAAAAGGGACATAGTGAAATAGAGATGACTCGTGTCACTTTTAATACTTGTACACCTTTTACTGTTATTGTTTGTGAAACGTTTCAAAAAGGTGACTACAACTTGAATTGTGAAGTTCCTGGTCTCTTACAATGTTTTTGGAGATTTATCTTCTGTAAAGGTGAAGTCCAACTGGAAAGGGTCTTTGATGGATGCTCTCACTGTAAGGAAAAATAACCCCCTCATAGAATCTTCTGTCTTTTCAACCAACAGAATGATGGCGGCAGGCTATTCAAAGAAGTCAAAGCGTACTTCAGTGCAGTGAAAGGTAGGATCTGTCTACTTTAGCTCACGCCATAGCAGAGGTTGCTCTCGGGCATGAGAGCACCTACGGCCCTAGATCTAATTAGTCTAATCAAATCAATTACATTACCGGTTGCTTAATTGAAGAAAAACAGGTTATAGACTCAATACTTATTTGTAGTGTTGCCCTGCACATTTAGGCAGTTCAAGCTGCCATATTCATATTCCGGTCAAAACCAAATATCAACTTATTTTTTGTACTTCTATCTTTTATATATGTCTTTTCATGGCCACAAGATCTGAAATTACTTTACTTTGGTCTTCTTTTGACTTTGTTTAATATGGTAGTAGGGCTATATCTTGTACAGTAGTGTTCAAGTTAACACACTGTCCGGTCTCTTTTTGTAAACTGACCTTACTTTCAAATCCTCTCTGGTAGCATCCTGTCAATTTATAAAAACAAAGAACTACCGGCCATTAAAAATGGCACACTCTGCAAATGAACATGTATTCATTTGAGCAGGAACAATAAATCAATGTTAGTATTTTTTTGTGCTACCGTTTGCATACCACTTCAAGTGAAGCCTGTGTTGTTTTGACCTTTTAAGTGTAGGTGTAGCCGAATCTGCAGTGTGCCACAAAACCAAAACGACTTTATCTAAATGTGCTGTCCATGCTGGTTTCTGTCATGCGAGCTGTGTAAAGGCCAAAAAGCTTGGTGGTATTCATTAGTGAACACCATAGCAAAACATTTTTTACGACTGAAAACAAGCATTTCTTATTGTTAAAGTTCAGGTGGTTCTGTTTCAGTCAGTTTTCTTCCGTTTGGTGTCTAATGAATACAACTCTAGTTTCAAACTTTCAACCCACATCCCCAGACGCTGACCCCTGGTCTAGGTAACACGGTATCTGCTAGGCAAGCTACCCATCTACACAAATGTCTACTTTGTCACTTGGCTGTCCAAAACAATACCTATTAGCTTTATAGTGTCATCTAAACACTTTAGTTTTGCTCTAGTTCACATGTTCCTTCTGTCCTTCTCCACAGTGATGCATGAGACCTCCAAGCGACTGTCCCAGACGTTAAGAGATGTCTACGAACCCGACTGGCAGGGAGGAGAGGACCTGTCTGTCATCATGGAGGTGGGCCACAGTGGATTTTTAGTTGTAGACTAGAGTAAGAACCCCTGACGAAGATCTATTGACCAAAACGTTGGTCTGAGAACCAGTAAATAAGAGCGGAGTATACAATAATACCGGTGTGTTGACCAGAGTTTCAGTTCATGTTTCAGGTGAGGCAGAGGCAGTTCTTTCGGTGTATATTTATAATAATTGTTAGTATACACTGAAGTATACACAGTTACTGGGTTCATCAGGAAGTGTATAGGGGATGTTGTTCCCACTGTGACGATTAAAACCTATCCAATCCAAAAACCGTGGATAGATGGCAGCATTCGTGCAAAAATTAAAGTATGAACCACCGCATTTAACCATGGCAAGGTAACTGGGAATATGGTTGAATACAGACAGTGTAGTTATTCCCTCCGTAAGGCAATCAAACAGGCAAAACATCAGTACAGAGACAAAGTGGAGTCGCAATTCAACGGTTCAGACACAAGGCGTATGTGGCAGGGACTCCAGACAATCACGGATTATAAAGGGAAAACCAGCCACGTCGTGGACACCGATGTCTTGCTCCCCGACAAGCTAAACACCTTCACCCACTTTGAGGGAAACACAGTGCTGCCGATGCAGGCTACCGTGAGCTCTCGTTCTCTGTGGCTGACATGAGTAAGACATTTTAAGTGTGTTAACCCTCGCAAGGCTACCAGTCCAGAAGGCATCCCTAGCCGCGTCCACAGAGCATGACTATCACCCCGTAGCACTCACTTCTGTCATCATGAAGTGCTTTGAGAGGCTAAGGATCATATTACCTCCACCTTACACGACACCCTAAACCCACTGCAATTTGCAAGCCGCCCCAATAGATCCACAGATTATGCAATCGCCATCACACTGCACATTGCCCTATCCCATCTGGACAAGAGGAATACCTATGTAAGAATGCTGTTCATTGACTACAGCTCAGCCTTCAACACCATAGTACCCTCCAAGCTCATCATTAAGCTCCGTGCCCTGGGTCCGCCTACAGGGAGGAGGTGAGGGACTTGGCGGAGTGGTGCCATGAAAATAACCTCAACGGCAACTAAATGAAGGCGATGATCGTGGGAGACAGCAGAGGGAGCATGCACCCATCCACATCGACGGGGCCGCAGTGGAGAAGGTGGAAAGCTTCAAGTTCCTCGTCGTACACATCACTGTGAAATGGTCCACCCACACAGACAGTGTGGTGAAGAAGGCGCAACAGTGCCTCTTCAACCTCAGGAGGCTGAAGAAATTAGTCTTGGCCCCGAAAACCACACTAATTTCTACAGATGCACAATTGAGAGCATTCTGTCGGGCTGTATCACCACCGCCTGGTATGGCAACTGCACCGAACGCAACCGCAGGGCTCTCCAGAGGGTGGAGCGGTCTGCCCAATGCATCTCCGGTGGCACACTGCCTGTCCTGCAGGACATCTACAGCACCTGGTGTCACAGGAAGGCCAAGAAAATCATCAAGGACCTCAGCCACCCGAGCGATGGCCTGTTCACCCCGCTACCATCCAGAAGGCGAGGTCAGTACAGGTGAATCAGAGCTGGAACAGAGAGACAGAAGCAGTTTTTCAATTTCAAGGCCATCAGACTGTTAAATAGTCACCACCAGCCGGTACCCAGCCCTGAACTTTAGTCACTGTCACTAGCCGGCTACCACCCAGTTACTCTACCATGCACCTTAGAGGCTGCTGCCCTGTGTATATAGTCATGGAACACTGGTCACTTTAATAATGTTTATATACTGCTTTACCTATTTCAGATGTGTATATACTGTATTCTAGTCAAGGCCATCCTATTCAACTATTGATGTACATATTCTTCAGATATACTATTTATTCTATCCACATACTGTCCATAATGTCTATACATCACACACGTGTGTGTGTGTGTTATATATACACACACAGTGGGGAGAACAACTATTTGATACACTGCCGATTTTGCAGGTTTTCCTACTTACAAAGCCTGTAGAGGTCTGTAATTTTTTATCATAGGTACACTTCAACTGTGAGAGACGGAATCTAAAACAAAAATCCAGAAAATCACATTGTATGATTTTTAAGTAATTAATTTGCATTTTATTGCATGACATAAGTATTTGATCACCTACCAACCAGTAAGAATTCCGGCTCTCACAGACCTGTTCGTTTTTCTTTAAGAAGCCCTCCTGTTCTCCACTCATTACCTGTATTAATTGCACCTGTTTGAACTCGTTACCTGTATAAAATACACCTGTCCACACACTCAAACAGACTCCAACCTCTCCACAATGGCCAAGACCAGAGAGCTGTGTAAGGACATCAGGGATAAAATTGTAGACCTACACAAGGCTGGGATGGGCTACAGGACAATGGGCAAGCAGCTTGGTGAGAAGGCAACAACTGTTGGCGCAATTATTAGAAAATGGAAGAAGTTCAAGATGACGGTCAATCACCCTCGGTCTGGGGCTCCATGCAAGATCTCACCTCGTGGGGCATCAATGATCATGAAGAAGGTGAGGGATCAGCCCAGAACTACACGGCAGGACCTGGTCAATGACCTGAAGAGAGCTGGGACCACAGTCTCAAAGAAAACCATTAGTAACACACTACGCCGTCATGGATTAAAATCCTGCAGCGCACGCAAGGTCCCCCTGCTCAAGCCAGCGCATGTCCAGGCCCGTCTGAAGTTTGCCAATGACCATCTGGATGATCCAGAGGAGGAATGGGAGAAGGTCATGTGGTCTGATGAGACAAAAATAGAGCTTTTTGGTCTAAACTCCACTCGCCGTGTTTGGAGGAAGAAGAAGGATGAGTACAACCCCAAGAACACCATCCCAACCGTGAAGCATGGAGGTGGAAACATCATTCTTTGGGGATGCTTTTCTGCAAAGGGGACAGGACGACTGCACCGTATTGAGGGGAGGATGGATGGGGCCATGTATCGCGAGATCTTGGCCAACAACCTCCTTCCCTCAGTAAGAGCATTGAAGATGGGTCGTGGCTGGGTCTTCCAGCATGACAATGACCCAAAACACACAGCCAGGGCAACTAAGGAGTGGCTCCGTAAGAAGCATCTCAAGGTCCTGGAGTGGCCTAGCCAGTCTCCAGACCTGAACCCAATAGAAAATCTTTGGAGGGAGCTGAAAGTCCGTATTGCCCAGCGACAGCCCCGAAACCTGAAGGATCTGGAGAAGGCCTGTATGGAGGAGTGGGCCAAAATCCCTGCTGCAGTGTGTGCAAACCTGGTCAAGACCTACAGGAAACGTATGATCTCTGTAATTGCAAACAAAGGTTTCTGTACCAAATATTAAGTTCTGCTTTTCTGATGTATCAAATACTTATGTCATGCAATAAAATGCAAATTAATTACTTAAAAATCATACAATGTGATTTTCTGGCTTTTTGTTTTAGATTCTGTCTCTCACAGTTGAAGTGTACCTATGATAAAAATTACAGACCTCTACATGCTTTGTAAGTAGGAAAACCTGCAAAATCGGCAGTGTATCAAATACTTGTTCTCCCCACTGTATATATATACATGCATATAGTGAGGGGGGGAAAAAGTATTTGATCCCCTGCTCATTTTGTAATTTTGCCCACTGACAAAGAAATGATCAGTCTATAATTCTAATGGTAGGTTTATTTGAACAGTGAGAGACAGAATAACAACAACAAAATCCAGAAAAACGCTTGTCAAAAATGTTATAAATTGATTTGCATTTTAATGAGGGAAATAAGTATTTGACCCCATCTCAATCAGAAAGATTTCTGGTTCACCTGTCCACAGAAGCAATCAATCAATCAGATTCCAAACTCTCCACCATGGCCAAGACCAAAGAGCTCTCCAAGGATGTCGGGGACAAGATTGTAGACCTACACAAGGATGGAATGGGCTACAAGACCATCGCCAAGCAGCTTGGTGAGAAGGTGACAACAGTTGGTGCGATTATTCACAAATGGAAGAAACAAAAAAAGAACTCTCAATCTCCCTCGACCTGGGGCTCCATGCAAGATCTCACCTCGTGGAGTTGCAATGATCATGAGAAAGGTGAGAAATCAGCCCAGAACTACACTGGAGGATCTTGTCAATGATCTCAAGGCAGCTGGGACCATAGTTACCAAGAAAACAATTGGTAACACACTATGCCGTGAAGGACTGAAATCCTGCAGCGCCCGCAAGGTCCCCCTGCTCAAGAAAGCACATATACATGCCCGTCTGAAGTTTGCCAATGAACATCTGAATGATTCAGAGGAGAACTGGGTGAAAGTGTTGTGGTCAGATGAGACCAAAACGGAGCTCTTTGGCATCAACTCAACTCGCCGTGTTTGGAGGAGGAATGCTGCCTCTGACCCCAAGAACACCATCCCCACCGTCAAACATGGAGGTGGAAACATTATGCTTTGGGGGTGTTTTTCTGCTAAGGGGACAGGACAACTTCACCGCATCAATGGGACGATGGACAGCGCCATGTACCGTCAAATCTTGGGTGAGAACCTCCTTCCCTCAGCCAGGGCATTGAAAATGGGTTGTGGATGGGTATTCCAGCATGACAATGACCCAAAACACACGGCCAAGGCAACAAAGGAGTGGCTCAAGAAAAAGCACATTAAGGTCCTGGAGTGGCCTAGCCAGTCTCCAGACCTTAATCCCATAGAAAATCTGTGGAGGGAGCTGAAGGTTCGAGTTGCCAAACATCAGCCTCAAAACCTTAATGACTTGGAGAAGATCTGCAAAGAGGATTGGGACAGAATCCCTCCTGAGATGTGTGCAAACCTGGTGGCAAACTACAAGACACGTCTGACCTCTGTGATTGCCAACAAGGGTTTTGCCACCAAGTACTAAGTCATGTTTTGCAGAGGAGTCAAATACTTATTTCCCTCATTAAAATTCAAATCAATTTATAACATTTTTGACATACGTTTTTCTGGATTTTTGTTGTTGTTATTCTGTCTCTCACTGTTCAAATAAACCTACCATTACAATTATAGACGGATAATTTCTTTGTCAGTGGGCAAACGTACAAATTCAGCAGGGGATCAAATACTTTTTTCCAGCAGGGGATCAAATACTTTTTTCCCTCACTATATATATATATATATATATGTGTGTGTGTGGGGAGAACAAGTATTTCATACACTGCCGATTTTGCAGGTTTTCCTACTTACAAAGCATGTAGAGGTCTGTAATTTTTATCATAGGTACACTTCAACTGTGAGAGACAGAATCTAAAACAAAAATCCAGAAAATCACATTGTATGATTTTTAAGTAATTAATTTGCATTTTATTGCATGACATAAGTATTTGATACATCAGAAAAGCAGAACTTAATATTTGGTACAGAAACCTTTGTTTGCAATTACAGAGATCATACGTTTCCTGTAGGTCTTGACCAGGTTTGCACACACTGCAGCAGGGATTTTGGCCCACTCCTCCATACAGACCTTCTCCAGATCCTTCAGGTTTCGGGGCTGTCGCTGGGCAATACGGACTTTCAGCTCCCTCCAAAGATTTTCTATTGGGTTCAGGTCTGGAGACTGGCTAGGCCACTCCAGGACCTTGAGATGCTTCTTACAGAGCCACTCCTTAGTTGCCCTGGCTGTGTGTTTCGGGTCGTTGTCATGCTGGAAGACCCAGCCACGACCCATCTTCAATGCTCTTACTGAGGGAAGGAGGTTGTTGGCCAAGATCTCGCGAAACATGGCCCCATCCATCCTCCCCTCAATACGGTGCAGTCGTCCTGTCCCCTTTGCAGAAAAGCATCCCCAAAGAATGATGTTTCCACCTCCATGCTTCACGGTTGGGATGGTGTTCTTGGGGTTGTACTCATCCTTCTTCTTCCTCCAAACACGGCGAGTGGAGTTTAGACCAAAAAGCTCTATTTTTGTCTCATCAGACCACATGACCTTCTCCCATTCCTCCTTTGGATCATCCAGATGGTCATTGGCAAACTTCAGACGGGCCTGGACATGCGCTGGCTTGAGCAGGGGGACCTTGCGTGCGCTGCAGGATTTTAATCCATGATGGCGTAGCGTGTTACAAATGGTTTTCTTTGAGACTGTGGTCCCAGCTCTCTTCAGGTCATTGACCAGGTCCTGCCGTGTAGTTCTGGGCTGATCCCTCACCTTCCTCATGATCATTGATGCCCCACAAGGTGAGATCTTGCATGGAGCCCCAGACTGAGGGTGATTGACCGTCATCTTGAACTTCTTCCATTTTCTAATAATTGCGCCAACAGTTGTTGCCTTCTCACCAAGCTGCTTGCCTATTGTCCTGTAGCCCATCCCAGCCTTGTGCTGGTCTACAATTTTATCCCTGATGTCCTTACACAGCTCTCTGGTCTTGGCCATTGTGGAGAGGTTGGAGTCTGTTTGATTGATTGTGTGGACAGGTGTCTTTTATACAGGTAACGAGTTCAAACAGGTGCAGTTAATACAGGTAATGAGTGGAGAACAGGAGGGCTTCTTAAAGAAAAACTAACAGGTCTGTGAGAGCCGGAATTCTTACTGGTTGGTAGGTGATCATACTTATGTCATGCAATAAAATGCAAATGAATTACTTAAAAATCATACAATGTGATTTTCTGGATTTTTGTTTTCGATTCCGTCTCTCACAGTTGAAGTGTACTTATGATAAAAATTACAGACCTCTACATGCTTTGTAAGTAGGAAAACCTGCAAAATGGGCAGTGTATCAAATACTTGTTCTCCCCACTGTGTGTGTGTGTGTGTGTGTGTGTGTGTGTGTGTGTATATATATACAGTGGGGGAAAAAAAGTATTTAGTCAGCCACCAATTGTGCAAGTTCTCCCACTTAAAAAGATGAGGGAGGCCTGTAATTTTCATCATAGGTACACGTCAACTATGACAGACAAATTGAGAAAAAAAAATCCAGAAAATCACATTGTATGATTTTTTAATGAATTTATTTGCAAATTATGGTGGAAAATAAGTATTTGGTCACCTACAAACAAGCAAGATTTCTGGCTCTCATAGACCTGTAACTTCTTATTTAAGAGGCTCCTCTGTCCTCCACTCGTTACCTGTATTAATGGCACCTGTTTGAACTTGTTATCAGTATAAAAGACACCTGTCCACAACCTCAAACAGTCACATTCCAAACTCCACTATGGCCAAGACCAAAGAGCTGTCAAAGGACACCAGAAACAGAATTGTAGACCTGCACCAGGCTGGGAAGACTGAATCTGCAATAGGTAAGCAGCTTGGTTTGAAGAAATCAACTGTGGGAGCAATTATTAGGAAATGGAAGACATACAAGACCACTGATAATCTCCCTCGATCTGGGGCTCCACGCAAGACCTCACCCCGTGGGGTCAAAATGATCACAAGAACGGTGAGCAAAAATCCCAGAACCACACGGGGGGACCTAGTGAATGACCGGCAGAGAGCTGGGACCAAAGTAACAAAGCCTACCATCAGTAACACACTACGCCGCCAGGGACTCAAATCCTGCAGTAGCAGACGTGTCCCCCTGCTTAAGCCAGTACATGTCCAGGCCCGTCTGAAGTTTGCTAGAGTGCATTTGGATGATCCAGAAGAGGATTGGGAGAATGTCATATGGTCAGATGAAACCAAAATATAACTTTTTGGTAAAAACTCAACTCGTCGTGTTTGGAGGACAAAGAATGCTGAGTTCCATCCAAAGAACACCATACCTACTGTGGAGCATGGGGGTGGAAACATCATGCTTTGGGGCTGTTTTTCTGCAAAGGGACCAGGACGACTGATCCGTGTAAAGGAAAGAATGAATGGGGCCATGTTTTGTGAGATTTTGAGTGAAAACCTCCTTCCATCAGCAAGGGCATTGATGATGAAACGTGGCTGGGTCTTTCAGCATGACAATGATCCCAAATACACCGCCTGGGCAACGAAGGAGTGGCTTCGTAAGAAGCATTTCAAGGTTCTGGAGTGGCCTAGCCAGTCTCCAGATCTCAACCCCATAGAAAATCTTTGGAGGGAGTTGAAAGTCCGTGTTGCCCAGCGACAGCCCCAAAACATCACTGCTCTAGAGGAGATCTGCATGAAAGAATGGGCCAAAATACCAGCAACAGTGTGTGAAAACCTTGTGAAGAGTTACAGAAAACGTTTGACCTGTGTCATTGCCAACAAGGGGTATATAACAAAGTATTGAGAAACTTTTGTTATTGACCAAATACTTATTTTCCACCATAATTTGCAAATAAATTCATAAAAAATCCTACAATGTGATTTTCTGGATTTTGTTTTTCTCATTTTGTCTGTCATAGTTGACGTGTACCTATGATGAAAATTACAGGCCTCTCTCATCTTTTTAAGTGGGAGAACTTGCACAATTGGTGGCTGACTAAATACTTTTTTTCCCCACTGTATGTATATATATATATATATATATATATAACACACACTCCGGACTCTGACATTGCTCGTCCTAATATTTGTTTTTACTTTTTAGATTTGTATATATTGTTAGATATTACTGCACTGTTGGAGCTAGAAACACAAGCATTTTGCTACACTGGCAATATCTGCTAAATATGTGTATTTGACCAATACAATTAGATTTGATTTTGGCAATGTATTTCTGTTGTATAGTAGAAAGCAGGCTGAAGGTTTATTTATTTATTTATTATTTTTTTACCTCAGAGTGAGGACTTGCTGTGGAATGATTATGAAGAGAAACTAACAGACCAGATAGTCCACACCATGGAGAATTACACTGGACAGTTTCATGAAGTCAAGGTAGCTTCTGATATACTCTTATCAATTGTTTGTGGTGCAATAGAACTAGTTCACGTCAAAACTCTTCTCTCCCTATGTGTTTACATTGCTGATTAGTCCTACAAACAATCATGAGAGACTAGTGCCATGTGGCTCATGGGAATTGTGTTCAGAAATATCGCTTCTCTCCCTTCCTCTTAGGAACGAGTGGCCAAACGCGGTCGGAAGCTAGTAGACTACGATTCCTCACGCCACCACTTGGAGGCGTTGCAGAATGCCAAGAAGAAAGATGATGCCAAAATCACCAAGGTGTGTTGAAAATGAAATGTAAATTCTTTTTTTAATTTGTATGTATTTGGATAAAGGCACTGAAAGCATTTGGACTCCATTTCTCTCTGATCAGGCGGAGGAAGAGTTCAACAAAGCCCAGAGTGTGTTTGAGGAAATCAACAAAGAGATGAGGGAGGAGCTTCCTGTTCTCTATCAAAGGTGATGTCAATGGACCACAGCACATCGGGGTCGTGTTCATTAGGCACCAAACGGGGAAAAATTTACTGAAACAGGGAGGGACTACTGGACTTGTCCAATAAGAAACATTCATTTTAAAGTGGCTCTAGTATAACAGAACATTTTCCCTCTTGTCTAAAGCCGGATTGGATGCTACGTGACCGTCTTTCAAAACATTTCCAACCTGAGGGATGTCTTCTATAAGGAAATGAGTGTGGTAAGCCTGTTTTTCCTACATTCTGATATGGATGTTATTCTCCCAAAAGGAATAAAACATCACAATAAATGTAACATCTTTATCACAGATATAAATAATTTACTGTATGCTATGTAGTATCGTATCTCACTTTCCAGATAAAGAAATGTACTGCAAGTCAACTAATATTGACTAATAGAATAACCACTATTCATTGCAGCTGAACCATGAGCTTTACAACGTGATGAAGAAGCTGGAGACTCAGCATTCAGGAAAAGCTTTTATCATCAAGGGACTTAACAGGTCGGTGTTTTAGATGACCATAAGAATGCACCACTTTTGTTTAATAATAATAATAATAATAATATGCCATTTAGCAGACGCTTTTATCCAAAGCGACTTACAGTCATGCGTGCATACATTTTTTTTTGTGTATGGGTGGTCCCGGGGATCGAACCCACTACCTTGGCGTTACAAGCGCCGTGCTCTACCAGCTGAGCTACAGAGGACCACTCATAGTTTAACCTCTCATAGTCTGTTTAACCTCTCAATCTGTTTAACCTCTCATAGTCCTTATTATGTGATAGCTGGTGGTAATATAGTCATGTGAAAAGTTTTTGATCATTTATTTTATTCATTTAATTTCCAATGGAGAAAAAATTCATATACTCTAATTTGAATAGTTATTTTCTTCTCATCAAGTGTGGAATTTGGGATCTGAGAATGTCCAACCTGCTAACCAGACAGATCAGCTCACCCTCTATGTCCTCTCTTAGCACCAAGTCCAAGAAGAGAAAATCCCTGGTCATCTCAGCGCCTATCCCCTGTAACACAGCCTTCCCCTCGGAACACACAGCTCTCCACGCATCCGCAGCCCCGGAGAACGGCAAAGAGACCTGTACCCAGAGCATCCCTGAGGAGCCCTCTGCCAACTCGGGAGAGGCAGATGAGGGCACTGGCACGGCGGACCCTTGCGTCGTCACCTCTGAAACGTATGACTTCTCGGACGAGATGAGCTCCAACGGCACCGCTACTCCCAACAGACGGTCGGTGTGCGACAGCGACAACGGGGTCGGGAGTGAAGTCGCATCAGAGGGTCTGAGTGACCTCCAAGAGGGCGGTGCTTCGGAAGGGCAGGGCCCTAGCCAATTGGAGGACTCCTCTGCCGTAGAAGAGCAGGTTCAAAGGTCAGAGGTGACCTCTGGAGGTGAGGTCATGACTAGTCAGAAGGCTGTGGCTGAGTCCACAGAGAGCGACGTCCCACATGACACTGACCAGGCTGATCCTCCAGAGCATGGCAAAGCCAGGGCTCCACACCTCTCATTCCCCCCCTCTGAGAGGCACTCCTTCCCCCCTGCAGAGGCCAGCCAAGTGGAGGTGGTGGAAGAGAAGGGAGAAGGGGCTTCCCAGGCCCTGCAGGCAGGTGACACAAAGAGCAATGGAAATGACTCGGACTCCCAGAATCCACCTGGTTTCATTTTCAAGGTGATTCTATTTGCTAGTTGTGGTATTCTCTTTATAATATATTATAGTGTGGTGTGTGTGTATATAGTGTCCATTGTCCTAACAGTGTTTGAAATGTAGATGTTAATCAATTAATTATGAAGGCCATGTTATTAATTAAAGTGATAAGACCTCAGTGTTTCACATGCCTGAAGTGGTGTGTAAATATATACATACAGTGGGGAAAACAAGTATTTGATACACTGCTGATTTTGCAGGTTTTCCTACTTACAAAGCATGTAGAGGTCTGTAATTTTTATCATAGGTACACTTCAACTGTGAGAGACGGAATCTAAAACAAAAATCCAGAAAATCACATTGTATGATTTTTAAGTAATTAATTTGCATTTTATTGCATGACATAAGTATTTGAAACATCAGAAAAGCAGAACTTAATATTTGGTACAGAAACCTTTGTTTGCAATTACAGAGATCATACGTTTCCTGTAGGTCTTGACCAGGTTTGCACACACTGCAGCAGGGATTTTGGCCCACTCCTCCATACAGACCTTCTCCAGATCCTTCAGGTTTCGGGGCTGTCGCTGGGCAATACGGACTTTCAGCTCCCTCCAAAGATTTTCTATTGGGTTCAGGTCTGGAGACTGTCTAGGCCACTCCAGGACCTTGAGATGCTTCTTACGGAGCCACTCCTTAGTTGCCCTGCCTGTGTGTTTCGGGTCGTTGTCATGCTGGAAGACCCAGCCACGACCCATCTTCAATGCTCTTACTGAGGGAAGGAGGTTGTTGGCCAAGATCTCGCGATACATGGCCCCATCCATCCTCCCCTCAATACAGTGCAGTCGTCCTGTCCCCTTTGCAGAAAAGCATCCCCAAAGAATGTTTCCACCTCCATGCTTCACGGTTGGGATGGTGTTCTTGGGGTTGTACTCATCCTTCTTCTTCCTCCAAACACGGCGAGTGGAGTTTAGACCAAAAAGCTCTATTTTTGTCTCATCAGACCACATGACCTTCTCCCATTCCTCCTCTGGATCATCCAGATGGTCATTGGCAAACTTCAGACGGGCCTGGACATGCGCTGGCTTGAGCAGGGGGACCTTGCGTGCACAGCAGGATTTTAATCCATGACGGTGTAGTGTGTTACCAATGGTTTTCTTTGAGACTGTGGTCCCAGCTCTCTTCAGGTCATTGACCAGGTCCTGCCGTGTAGTTCTGGGCTGACCCCTCACCTTCCTCGTGATCATTGATGCCCCATGAGGTGAGATCTTGCATGGAGCCCCAGACCGAGGGTGATTGACCGTCATCTTGAACTTCTTCCATTTTCTAATAATTGCGCCAACAGTTGTTGCCTTCTCACCAAGCTGCTTGCCTATTGTCCTGTAGCCCATCCCAGCCTTGTGCAGGTCTACAATTTTATCGCTGATGTCCTTAGACAGCTCTTTGGTCTTGGCCATTGTGGAGAGGTTGGAGTCTGTTTGATTGAGTGTGTGGACAGGTGTCTTTTATACAGGCAACGAGTTCAAACAGGTGCAGTTAAGAGGTAATGAGTGGAGAACAGGAGGGCTTCTTAAAGAAAAACTAACAGGTCTGTGAGAGCCAGAATTCTTACTGGTTGGTAGGTGATCAAATACTTATGTCATGCAATAAAATGCAAATTAATTACTTAAAAATCATACAATGTGTTTTTCTGGATTTTTGTTTTCGATTCCGTCTCTCACAGTTGAAGTGTACCTATGATAAAAATTACAGACCTCTACATGCTTTGTAAGTAGGAAAACCTGCAAAATGGGCAGTGTATCAAATACTTGTTCTCCCCACTGTGTGTGTGTGTGTATGTGTGTATATATATATATATATATTTAATTAATTAATGGCCAGCTCAATGCATTAGGTATCTATTGCCAGCACATACTGTAATGGCCCAGTCCTAACTTGAGATTCCATTGACATCAGTACATGATTTACAATGCAAACAATTAATGCTTGAGCCTTACACGAGAGAAATAAACAGCACTTTAATTTGAAATTACTATTTTGATTAAACATTTCTGCTGAGTATTTTTCAAACAGAGTTGTTTATGTGGTGGTGTGATTGATATCAGGGCGTGGCGCTGGAGGGTCACATTTCAGAAGACGGCACGCTGCAGTATGACGTGGAAGACGTGATTCTCATCCTCGCCGACACAGAGGAGAAGGTGCGTGTGTGTGTATATATTTGTATTCATGTCAGCCTATGTCTCCTTGGAGTAGTTTAACTTCCAAATAGGACTACTAAGTAAGTAATACTAAAGGTCATAGTCTTAAACTGAGCACTGAATTCCAACGGTGCATCAGACTGTGACACCGAATTTGAAAACAGTTTGCCCACATGCATGTCACTTTAGAGTTATTAGGATTTTCAGCACGTTATTTAGCAATTTGAGCCAATATACGGTATTGCTTTGATTTTGTTGACACGTTCATGGTTCCCTTTTTACCAAGATGGCAGAACTGATCCTTTATTGACAAAGCGTCTCACAGTAGGAGTGCTGATCTAGGATCAGTCTTTTAGATCATAATGAATGAAAAGGGGGACCTGATCCAGCACTCCTACTTTGAGACGCTTTATGAACATTGGGCCTTATCTCTCCTATAATGTGAGTAACATGGTGTGTTTTTTGTTAACCCCCCCCCCAACAGCAGGAAGGCATGGCCAAGGTGGTGAGGGAGAAGACCTGTATCCAGCAGGGAGATCTATCAGAATGAGCCAATTGCGTCATCTCATTTCCTGTCTTCCCCTCGAGCTGTGGTGACTCATTGAGTGTTCATGTGCTATTAGGAACTCTGACATTTCCGACTTGCTAACTGGTTGTCGTTATACACGTGCCGCGTTCAACCAGTTAGCATCGGAAATGTCAGAGTTCCGATTAGCACAGCAGCACACAAAATGGCAATGGACAGAGATGGGGTGTGGAGGACTACGTAAGGGAAAAAACAGGAACACAAGCCCATGTGCCTATTAATCACACGCTTCCATGTCTCAACTTGTTGGAAGATACCGATGAGTGTCATACTTACCGAAATATATATATATATTTTTAAAGAATGTTAGTTTGTTTACACATGTTTTTGATCTACAGTATTTTGGCCTTGTTTGTGTTATCATTGTGTAAGTCTTGAAACTGTGAAACTTATAGAAACCTTTTTTATATATCAATGCCATTGAAAGATTCCTAGTTGAATAAAGTTATGTGAGAGGAATGGAGGTGTTGTTGAAATGGCAGAACGAAAAGCAACATGTTGGCATGCTTACCGTTTGGTCTAAAATAGGTTGCTTGGTTACTTAAGCAATAACGCCTGAGGTGTGGTATATGGCCAATATACCACGGCTAAGGGCTGTTCTTAAGCACGTCACAACGCGGAGTGCATGGCCACAGCCCTTAGCTGTGGTATATTGGCCATATATCACAAACCCCCGAGGTGCCTTATTGCTATTATAAATGTAATTAGAGCAGTAAAAATACATGTTTTGTCATACCCGTGGTATACTGTCTGATATACCACGGCTGTAATCCAATCAGCATTCAGGGCTCGAACCACCAAGTTTATAATATTCCATATGCCACTGAGTAGTCAAGCCCCTGTGTATCACATGTTAACACAAGGTGGCACTAGTGGTCTAATGCAAACTACAGAGACAACCCATTTTCACTTGAGGCGCTTTCCCGTGTTTTTTAGTTTGATTGTGAATATTAGTGTCATCTTCATGCCCGACCTTCAAACTTGGTGGGATAACCTCTTATCAGTTTTTACCGTCAATTCAGTTGGGTTAACTCCAAAGAATCAGACAGAATAGTTACTCCTAAATGTATATAGTTACTATTTATTTGACTTTTTCTAAACTGGTGCATTAAGTATTTTCAAATGATCAACATTTTTCTAGGTGTAATACATAGCAGAATATTTAAAGTATGAATGTGAGACCAGGCAAAAACTGAGCAAAACAGTAAAATGCTTTATAAAAAAAAGTTGAAGGTTATTTCACTGTTTACTTAATATACACTACCGGTCAAAAGTGCAAATAGTCCGGGTAGCCATTTGATTAGCTGTTCACGAGTCTTATGGCTTAGGGGTAGAAGCTGTTAAGAAGCCTTTTGGACCTAGACTTGGCGTTCTGGTACCGCTTGCCATGCGGTAGCAGAGAGAACAGTCTATGACTAGGGTGGCTGGAGTCTTTGACAGTTTTTAAGGCCTTCCTCTGAAACCACCTGGTATAGAGGTCCTGGATGGCAGGAAGCTTGGCCCCAGTGATGTACTGGGCCATACGCACTACACTCTGTAGTGTCTTGCGGTCGGAGGCCAAGCAGTTGCCATACCAAGCAGTGATGCAACCAGTCAGGATGCTCTCGATGGTGCAGCTGGATAACTTTTTGAGGATCTGAGGACCCATGCCAAATCTTTTCAGTCTCCTGAGGGGGAATAGGCTTTGTCGTGCCCTCTTCATGACTGTCTTGGTGTGTTTGGACCATGATCGTTTGTTGGTGATGTGGACACCAAGGAACTTGAAGCTCTCAACCTGCTCCACTACAGCCCCTTCGATGAGAATGGGGGCGTGCTCGGTCCCCTTCTTTTTCCTGTAGTCCACAATCATCTTCTTTGTCTTGATCACGTTGAGGGAGAGATTGTTATCCTGGCACAACACTGCCAGGTCTTTTACCTCCTCCCTATAGGCTCATCGTTGTCGGTGATCAGGCTTACCACTGTTGTGTCGTCGGCAAACTTAATGAGGGTGTTGGAGTCGTGCCTGGCCATGCAGTCATGGGGAGTACAGTGGCTTGCGAAAGTATTCACCCCCCTTGGCATTTTTCCTATTTTGTTGCCTTACAACCTGGAATTAAAATGGATTTTTGAGGGGTTTGTATCATTTGATTTACACAACATGTCTACCACTTTGAAGATGCAAAAAAGAACTTGGCGTGCATAGCTATTCAGCCCCCCAAAGTCAATACTTTGTAGAGCCAGCTTTTGCAACAATTACATCTGCAAGTATTTTGGGGTATGTCTCTATAAGCTTGGCACATCTAGCCACTGGGATTTTTGCCCATTCTTCAAGGCAAAACTGCTCCATCTCCTTCAAGTTGGATGGGTTCCACTGGTGTACAGCAATCTTTAAGTCATACCACAGATTCTCAATTGGATTGAGGTCTGGGCTTTGACAAGGCCATTCCGAGACATTAAAATGTTTCCCCTTAAACCACTTGAGTGTTGCTTTAGCAGTATGCTTAGGGTCATTGTCCTACTGGAAGGTGAACCTCTGTCCCAGTCTCAAATCTCTGGAAGACTGAAACAGGTTTCCCTCAAGAATGTCCTTGTATTTAGTGCCATCCATCATTCTGACCAGTTTCCCAGTCCCTGCCGATGGAAAAACATAAATTTTTACATTTTAGTCCTTTAGCAGATGCTCTTATCCAGAGCGACTTACAGTTAGTGAGTGCATACATTTTTCATACTGCAGACTCTGGGGCCTTTCAGAACAGTTGTGTGTATATATACTGAGATCATGTGACAGATTGTGACACTTAAATTGCACATAGGTGGACTTTATTTAACTAATTATGTGACTTCTGAAAGTAATTGGTTGCACCAGATCTTATTTAGGGGCTTCATAGCAAAGGGGGTGTATACATATGCACGCACCACTTTTCCGTTTATATATTTTTTTGAATTTTTTGAAACAAGTTGCTTATTTCACCAATTTGGACTATTTTGTGTATGTCCATTACATGAAATCCAAATAAAATCAATTTAAATTACAGGTTGTAATGCAACAAAATAGGAAAAACGGCAAGGGGGATGAAATACTTTTGCAAGGCACTGTACAGGAGGGGACTGAGCACGCACCCCTGAGGGGCCCCTGTGTTGAGGATCAGCGTGGCAGATGTGTTGCTACCTACCTTTACCACCTCGGGGCGGCCCGTCAGGAAGTCCAGGATCCAGTTGCAGAGGGAGGTGGTTAGTCCCAGGATCCTTAGCTTAGTGATGAGCATTGAGGGTACTATGGTGTTGAACGCTGAGCTGTAGTCAATGAATAGCATTCTCACGTAGGTGTTCCTTTTGTCCAGGTGGGAAAGGGCAGTGTTGAGTGCAATAGAGATTGCGTCATCTGTGGATCTGTTGGGCCGGTATGCAAATTGGAGTGTGTCTAGGGTTTCTGGGATAATGGTGTTGATGTGAGCCATGACCAGCCTTTCAAAGCACTTCATGGCTACAGACTTGAGTGCTACGGGTCAGAAGTCATTTAGGCAGGTTACCTTAGTGTTTTTGGGCACCGGGATTATGGTGGTCTGCTTGAAACATGTAGGTATTACAGACTCAGTCAGGAACAGGTTGAAAATGTCAGCGCATGCTCGGAGTACACGTCCTGGTAAACCGTCTGGCCCTGCGGCCTTGTGAATGTTGACCTGTTTAAAGGTCTTACTCACATCGGCTACGGAGAGCGTGGTCACACATTCGTCCGGAACAGCTGATGATCTCATGCATGCTTCAATGTTGCTTGCCTCGAAGCGAGCGTAGACGTAATTTAGCTCGTCTGGTAGGCTTGTGTCACTGGGCAGCTCGCGGCTGTGCTTCCCTTTGTAGTCTGTAATAGTTTGCAAGCCCTGCCACATCCGACGAGCATCGGAGTCGGTGTAGTACTATTCAATCTTAGCCCTGTATTGACGGTTTGCCTATTTGATGGTTCGTTGGAGGATATAGCAGGATTTCTTTGGGTTAGAGTCCCGCTCCTTGAAAGCGGCAGCTCTACCCTTTAGCTCAGTGCGGATGTTGCCTGTAATCCATGGCTTCTGGTTGGGGTATGTACATACGGTCACTGTGGGGACGACGTCATCGATGCACTTATTGATGAACCCAGTGACTGATGTGGTGTACTCCTCAATGCCATCGGAAGAATCCCCGAACATATTCCAGTCTGTGCTAGCAAAACAGTCCTGTAGCTTAGCATCTGCGTCATCTGACCACTTCTTTATTGACCGAGTCACTGTTGCGTCCTGCTTTAATTTTTGCTTGTAAGCAAGAATCAGGAGGATCGAGTTATGGTCAGATTTGCCAAATGGAGGGTGAGGGAGAGCTTTTTACGCGTCTCTGTGTGGAGTAAATGTGGTCTAGAGTTTATTTTATCCTCTGGTTGCACATTTAACATTCTGGTAGAAATTAGGTAAAGCGGATGTAAGTTTCCCTGCATTAAAGTCCCCGGCCACTAGGAGCGCTGCATCTGGATGAGCGTTTTCCTGTTTGCTTATGGCCTTATACAGCTCATTGAGTGCAATCTTAGTGCCAGCATCGGTTTGTGGTGGTAAATAGGCAGCTACGAAAAATATAGATAAACTCTCTGGATATAGAGATGGATGAATGATTGTATGCCTATCTACCCGTTGAAATTATGGTGTATATTGTTGGGCAAATTAGATGTCAATGTAGCCTACATAAACCCAACCTCACTCCGAGTGTACTTGTAGATTACATTTGAAATCAACCAATCATCCTTCATATACAATACAATATCCAAAGGTTAAAGTGTATTATTAATATCAAGAATTTGCCATCCTATTTATAGGGCTAATGATAACAATTTCTAAACTTCCCCCCAAAAAACAATCAACCATGGATGAATGATAGTATACCTAGCAACACATTGAAATGATGGTGTCCTTTTGTTGGGCAAATCAGGCAGATGTCAATGTAGCTGGCCTACATAATAAACTCAACCTCACTGTGAATACATAGAGGTAGGCATCTTTTTTTCAGAGTTCCCAGTTGTCTTGAAAGCACCACTATGCACAGATACTGGGGCAGTTTCACACTTGCTTTCCAGGAAGGCGACTGGGTTGTCTTCCTCAGTAGAAATCCCGCTGTGACAACTGTTTCAAGGTAATGGTGTAAATAATGTTGTTC